CAGAAAGAGAGAGACAGAAAGCAAGAAATCACCCCCCAGGGGGATGGCCATGCCACAATCCCTTCTTCTCCATTCTCCTCTTGGGATCTTGGGCATGCATACACATGCACCTGGCGTGATTTTAAGCCACCGGGTCCGGGACTCGAACTGTGGTTGACTACATGGGAGTTCAGCGACATAGCAATTAGGCCAACTGCTGGTCCAATAAATTGAGTCTCTCACAACAGCTGTCAACTCAGGAGTCATGAAGAAGCCACATAGGCAGGCAGACACACTCCCCATACATGGGAACAAAGGAACTATTACTCTCAAAGCTCAGCAGCCTAGCGCTAGCTGAGGTGGCACATACTGCTAAGATGCTGTGCTTCATAGGCTGAGGCCACAAGTGAGGCCCAAGTTTGATATCCACTTCAACCTTACAGGCTAGTGTAGTACAGCCTGTGGTCACAGTCTCTGGGAGGGTGAAGCAAGAGGACTGCAACACATTGAGGGCCTGTCTCAAAAAAAGTGAGCTTAGTTTCTGACTATTGTCTTTGTCATGTCTGATCATATACTTAATATATATACATCAAATTAATCTCATTCAATATTTAGTATAAGGTTTTATGTAATGAATCCTCAAATGCATTACTGTCACAGACAATAGAAACACAAGCTATTTCTCACTCTGCCAATGTGTCTGTAATGGAGATACCATGGTTGGCCCTGGTAAAAACCTCTTTCATCAAAATGGTTACCATTTAAGAATACCAAAATGCTTACCAGGGAAGTAATTAGCTATTATCAGTCTGCAGAGTGCTGACAAAGGAAAGGACTTACATGACAATCTCCAAATACGCATGAGGCCAAAATGCCTGTTAGGTTCATTATTTCAGAAACTAAAAGCAAGCCTATTCTTTTCTGGTTACAAAAACACACAGAGACTTGTTTTCACTCTGCCTATGCCTACCAACAAGACAAGCCCATGCACAGCTCATGCTTCCTTGGGGTACCTCTCAGATACACTCTAGTAGGGCCAGGCCTACAGGGGCATCCTGTTGCCTTCTATGCTGAACTTGACAGCTCGGTGCACTTTGCTGAGTCGTTTCTGTTCTGCAAATCGTCTCTTATGCTTTTCCAATCGGCTTAGGCCCTTTTTAAGAATACCAGGCTAGAAAGAGTAATTTGATTGGAGAATAAACAGATTACTGAAAAAAACACTGAAGATCACTACACAATGTTTACAGTGACAAAAGAGGAAGTAGCTACCCTTAATATTTCACAATAAAATTGCTGAACAGTTGAAGAGAAAGGGATGGGTAGATCTGTGGAAGCAGGTAACTTCTGTTTCTCATGGCTTAAAAAAAATAAATCTGCTACCAGAACACTTTAGGCTTTAGATTCATTTGAAATAAAGGAACTAAGAAGAGGAAACTTCTCTACTTGACAATGTTGCTATAAGTCTAAAGAAAAGTTCATTAATAATGAACTTTAATCTTACATATTACTTTTCTTTTCTCTCATCGTTTGATTTGATTTGGAAAGACGAGAGACCAGAAAATCTCTCTTTGAATCAGATAAACCTCAAGAGCTACAAAGGTTATGAAATATGAAGCAAAAATAAAATGGCAGCTTCCATCTGTGATCCTCATGCTGTTTTGCTGCTTGCTTACCCTGGATGACTCCATTTCCACATTCCACTTGGGCCTGACAACATAGTCCTTGTTTGAGGGCATCGGAACCCGTGCGCGGGCACAGAATCCAGGATCTCCAGGTCGAAGAGCCCTGAGAAAGAGGAAGAGGAAGAGCACTCTGCTCATGTAGCCAGGCACAGTGGAGCCATAGGCAATCTCACACTCCTGTTTCTGGGTCTGTCTCAGAACATAAAGTGTTCCCAGTCTCCTGTGCCATCCCAAGGACTCCAACCCACCTTCCTGCCATCTCTTTCAGGTAGCATTGTCATCACATCTGCTAGTCTAATGTCACTTCCCTCCCAAAGGCTATCTCTTCTATATTCCATGTACCTTTTTCTCTTTTCCTCAGCTTTAGATATTATCATGTCCCTCTCCTTTCTAAGGCTGAGTCCTACTGTAGAACTCTGTATCCTAATTTCTCTGGTATGGTGGGGTCACTCACTTGTAAGGTGATCACCCTCAAATGACCCTCAAAAACTCTGACTATAATGTGGCTTATGGTACTGCATATGCAATTTATAGTAATTTTTGCCTGTTTCTTTTTGGTAAAAAACAAATAAACAAATAAAGCACATACACACCATATAAAACTTTTGGAGATAATTCTAAGATTCACATAAAGTTAAAAGAAATAGAGAGAGAGAGAACCACAGTGTTTCTGCCAATGGTAACAACTCGCAACACATAAAATAGAACCAAGACAGACACTGATACACTCTTTCCACTTTGTTTCTAGTGTCCCCTATAATTTTTAATAACTGTATGTTCTCCAGTCTTTCAGTCTCTACCATAGAATGCAGACAGTTGGTGTATGTTAAATAGAGACATGCAATGTTTCTCTTTCATCCCCTCCAGCACTTATCATTATAATGTGTGTCTGCTGGGGGTGGGAGATAAGGTTAAATCTTCTAAATTGTTTCCATTCCCTGTAAAGTTCACCCAATGTCTTAACATCAATGTCTTAACATCTTTTCTGTAAACAAATGCTACTTGCTCCTCTACTTTGTCTCCTATTCTCTTCTTGTAGTGTGGGTGGGACCTGACTGCCCCCACCACACAAATCCCTCTGTACCACCTGCCACTGACTGCTTCTGCTGCAGCCTCCTTTCCTCCAGCTATGCTCATAGGCTCCCCTGCCTTTACCAGTTACACCCAAAGTTGTTTAGTTCATTTCTTACTCTATATTCTCTTGACTCAACAATCTTTTCTATGGAGATAACCATCAAACCTATACCTCTATCCCAAATATCTCTTTAAATTCCAAGTTTGAGGTCCATGATATTTACAGAAGTATTTCATTTTAGGCATCTCGCATGTTCAAAACAGAACCGTACATGCCCTAAAATCTACTCTTCCACTTTAGTGAATGTTAATACCAGTCTCACTAAATAGGTTAAAATTTTGGTTGGGGTCTTAACTGTAACCAACTTCTCCCCCATTAAGTCACCAATGCCTGGCAACTCTGCCTCTGCATTGTCTTCCCATCCTTCTGCTCTCCTTATTGTCCCAGGTTAACTGTGTGTCCTGCCTGTGGTTCCTCTGCCTCCAACACATCCTTCAGGATGTCACCAACATTAGCATTCTGTCAAATCTGATGGATTCACAGACTGCATGGAATCAAGGAGAGAAAAAGAACATTCTTCATCTGACCCACATCAGTATTTCCAACCTGACCTTCCACCACCGCAGGTGCATATGACTGCCTACCCACTCCATTCACCTATAAAAACAGGCCCTACACTTCCCCATACCTTGGTTGGAGCTGTTTTTGTCTCTTATTCCTCAATGAACTACCTTCTTAAGGACATGAACTATTCTTACTTTTTATTCTCAGACTTAGTCTGCAAGGAGCAAGAAAATCTTCACTGAATGAACTATTTTCTCAACTGGCTTCATATCCTCAGAGCATAGTCCATAAATGTTAAACTGAAAACACTCATTACCAATGACCATACATAATTTCATTTTCTATTTTTATTAAACAGCAAATAGAAATTCTCTACATCATCTAAGAAGAAAAATTAAGACAAAGAACTTACTTCTCTTCTCCTGTCAGCACCTTTTCCAGGTCTCTCCGGGGTGTCTGACCACCAGTGCTAGGAAAGTGAACAGTAAGACACCAGGTACGTTAGAGGCTCGTGTTAGAACAAGGGAAAAAAGCAAACTATAACAGCAAACCTAGATCATATTGTGACGCAATATTCTAGGCATTAAGAGTATTTGTTACCGAACAACTTTATTCTCCCTAGCATAATACCAGTATCCTAACTGGACCCCTTTACACTGGGTCAAGGAAAATAACTCATCTTTAAAAAGTACTACTCATTTTAGTATTTATTTATGTAACAAGTTTCATTATAGGTGGGCCGTAACTACCATATTTACAACTAAAGACCCTGACCAACTAGATGTAATTATGACTAGTACATTAATACAGAACACTTTTTTCCTCCTCAAAATTTAGAAATGGCACTAAGAAAATTGTTTTCTGCAATTAGTTTAAGAACAAAGCAATCTCCACAATTGCAGAAAAGGCCGTGTTCTACCAAATTTGACCCAGAAAGGTGTTGGTGGGGGAAGAGGGCTTTAACTATATACTCTTACATACATAATTTTATAATATAATATAAATGTAAATAAATATTTTTTAATTTGCCAGAGGGCACATGTGCTCAACAGAGAAGGAAAGGAGGAGGGAGGAAAGGAGGGAGATGGAGGAAGCACCCTCAATGGGGAAGCGCCCTCAATGGGGTGTGGTCATGCCACAATCCCTTCTCTATTTCTCTATCCTGTTGGGATTTTAGGAACACAGGCACTAATGCTCAGGGTGTTTTTTGAGCCACTGGGTCTGGAACTTGAACTGTGAGGTCAGTTACGTGGGATCTGGTTCCCTTTACCACCAGGCCATGGCCTTACTATCACATTTAAATGAGAAATGCATTATGAATTTATACAGAAATATTAAACTGAGAAGACAAAACTCCCACCACCTCTCGTTTTTCCAAATGATCTTATTTACAAAAATCCCCAAATCACCATACAACAATCATATTTATTCCACTTACTCATACCTGTTCCCTCATACCTGTTCATTCTTCGTCGCTGAGGCATTTGTTCTAGATCTCTCTGCTCCCTTTCTTCTCTGGTCATTCCTTTGTAGTTTGAAGTAAGACCAAATATAGGCCGAGACCACTCATCTGTAACAATAAAAACATTATATTTTAGTGCATAAAATAGCTTTTCTTTTACCATTCTTAAAATCGTCACACCTCGTGTGATGCAATATTCTAGGCATTAAGAGTATTCGTTACCTAATAACTTTATTCTACATAGAATACCAGTATCTTAACTAGGAAATTTTGTGTGAAGATCAGTTAAAAACCAGTAACCATCAGAGATTTAAAGAAAGTAACACTTGATGCACTTTGATAGTCATCAGTTAGGAGGGAAAGTGAGAAATCGCTCCCTAGGGGGAGATGGCTATATCGCCTTCCCTTCTTTTCCACTCTCCTAGGATTTTAGGCATGCATGCACATGTGCTATTTTTCAAGTTGCCAGGTCCTGGGCTTGAACCGCATACTCATCCATGTGGGATCCAACACCTTAACTACGATGCCCTCTGCTGGCCCCCAAAATCTTGAAATCCTTTTACGTTCTTTCTTACCATAACCAAAAACAAGCTCCCCTATTACTCATCAAAATGGTCTAAACCTCTAACAATTATATTTTACTAGGCAGGGATATAAATCTGAAAAAGCTGGTAATGTGACCAAAAGGAAAATACTACATGCCTATGATCTAATCAGTAAAAGTACAGATGCCAAATCATCTGCCTTTCCTAAAACATCATGAAGCTTATTGCTGCATTTAGTACCTATAAAAACAAGAAAAGAGGCTCAGAGAACACTGGTACAGTCACACTAGGCAGAAAGCAGGAATTCATTCTCAGGGGGTCTGCGTCTTTGTTTTTTTTTTTTTGAGAGGTTTTTGTGCTATAGGGCGTGTGTGCTCGCCAGTCAGAGAGACAGAGAGACAGAAAGCGAGAAATCACCCCCCAGGGTGGATGGCCACACTGCAATCCCTTCTCCTCCATTCTCCTTTCAGGATTTTGGGCACACATGCACATGTGCCCAGCATGAGTTTTAAGCTACCAGGTTCAGGACACGAACCGCGGTCGACTACGTGGGAGTCCAGTGACATAGCCATTACACTAACTGCTGGTCCCGGAGGTCTGCGTCTTTTAAAACTGCCTCATTGACCCTAGTTCTGGATTCAGAATCACTGCTGTATTAAGTCATGTATACCAGTAGGAGTATTTTGCTTCTCAGTCAGGGAATGGGAGTGGATAGGGGTTGGGAGATGACCTCAAATCATTGCATAAAAGCACCAAAAGTTAAATAGGTAGTAAACTGTAAATTATTAAAACATTACCAAAGATGGTGAATACATCTTTGGTTCATAAAAGAACTTTATAATTCTCTAAAAGCTTTTAATAATCTTAAAAATAGAAAATTCATTGCTATATTCAAATGTAGAAGTAGTTACTTTTTCAACATAGCCTTGACGTTTTAGAAGCACAGAAGATATAATGAGGTTAATAAAAACAAATGTGGGGAGGTTAATAAAAACAAATGCAGTTAGCGTAATGGCTATGTCGCTGGACTCCCACATAGTCGACCGCGGTTTGCGTCCCGGACCCGGTGGCTTAGAACTCATGCCGGGCACGTGTGCATGCGTGCCCAAGATCCTGAGAGGAGAATGGAGGAGAAGGGATTGCGGCGTGACCATCCCCCCTGGGGGGTGATTTCTCGCTTTCTGTCTCTATGTCTCTCTCTGCCTGTCTGGCAAGCGCACGCGCCCTATAGTGAAAACCTCTCCAAAAAAAAAAAAAAATGTGCATTTCATTCCGAAAGCTGGAGGAATTTTCACCAACAGTATGACGTTTGATCACATGAACTAAAGTAGGACACCTCTGGATCTCTCTGGCATCATTAAATAAGAACACATAAAAGATTCTGGAGATCATTATGCAAGCAAGTTACAGAGGCAGTGGCTGACATTTCTTGAGTACTAAGTGCTAGACATTGTATTTTCTACAAATTCTCTTGTGTTATTTTTATACCAACCCAAACACCACAAATAATTATCTCAGTTTTACAGAAAAGGTGGCCAAGGCTTAAGTCACCAGACAAGGATATTCAGTAAGGCACATGGGAACCATAATCTGACCCAGGTATGCCAATTCCAGGGCCTGCAGTCTAAGTCCTATCCTTGCAGGCTCTTGATCCATGACTAGGAAAGGCTTTTACTTGCTATATTTAACATACTTCTTTACGCTAAAAAGCATTTTAGGACTAAGAATAAAAGGCTAGTATAAGAAGTTACTGAAGTTTTTTCTATTCCATTTTGAATCATTTTAAACCAATGTTGGGAAAAACAGTGTATATGTGTGTGTGTGTGTGTGTGTGTGTGTGTGTATAAATATAAATATATATATGTATGTCTCTCTGTATGCAGACACAAATACAATAAACAAAAAAACAAAATTTACATACTGATTAATTTCCCTGCCATGTCCTTGTTGGACCTTGATTCCTTGGGGTGTTTATAGAGATACATCACTGCTCGTCCAATGCCACTATGCTTCAGAGTCTCCTGGCTCACACTAGGTAGCTGGGGAACACCAAACACCACAAATAATTATCTCAGTTTTACAGAAAAGGTGGCCAAGGCTTAAGTCATGTCACCAGACAAGGATATTCAGTAAGGCACATGGGAACCATAATCTGACCCAGGTATGCCAATTCCAGGGCCTGCAGTCTAAGTCCTATCCTTGCAGGCTCTTGATCCATGACTAGGAAAGGCTTTTACTTGCTATATTTAACATACTTCTTTACGCTAAAAAGCATTTTAGGACTAAGAATAAAAGGCTAGTATAAGAAGTTACTGAAGTTTTTTCTATTCCATTTTGAATCATTTTAAACCAATGTTGGGAAAAACAGTGTATATGTGTGTGTGTGTGTGTGTGTGTGTGTGTGTATAAATATAAATATATATATGTATGTCTCTCTGTATGCAGACACAAATACAATAAACAAAAAAACAAAATTTACATACTGATTAATTTCCCTGCCATGTCCTTGTTGGACCTTGATTCCTTGGGGTGTTTATAGAGATACATCACTGCTCGTCCAATGCCACTATGCTTCAGAGTCTCCTGGCTCACACTAGGTAGCTGGGGAACATAAACATAGATATTAATCACTCAGATTCTGGGAATCTTGCTAATCTATTCTAGAGAGCCTTCAAGATCTGCTTCATTCACAATGAACAAATTCTAAAATTTCATCTTTAGATCTACGGATATTGAATGCTGAGACACTTTGTGTTCACATCAAAAGTTGAGAGTTCAGTATTACCACTGAATTGTGGTAAAACCTAATGATGTGAGAACTAAGCACACTCGAGAGATTAGCAGTTTAATATTGGAGTTAGCACAGACCTGAGATTAAACCCACCCACCATCACCTGCTAGTTGTATGATCTTGGATAAGTCATTTTAACTCCTGAGTCTTAATTTCTTTACCTATAAAATGGACATGATACACCCACTGTACATGTTTTGAACCAATACACCTAGCAAGCGCATGGCATATAGGAAATTCCTCGGGAATTCCTTCAGAAGTTAAGTAGCTTGCCCAAGACATCACAACCACATGAAGGTAGTCCAGCTCAAGATTCAAATGCAAGTTCATATGACTCTGAATTGCGTGTTCTTTCTACTGCAAGTGCCTCCCAGAACATGTCTACTACTGTGCAACTTTTCTCATATACACCATAGGTACTCCAAGATCTTTTCCTTTCAATACTATAGTTACACCAAGTTTATAAGGCCTCCCCCTTTTATGCTCATTAGGCATATTTCTTTGTTTCAACTCCCCTTCTGGCAGACTATAGCAGACACAATGTAAAAGTACACAGTAAAATATAGAGGTTATGGTAATAGAAATCATTACTAATTAACATAAACAGCAGTCAGATTATCTCCTTCTAACCTCTTGCAGAATCTTCAATAGCTCTTCCCGAATCTTTAGTGCTGGCAAACTCCTGTCTGGTAGAGGTGAGAGCCATTCTTTGATGGCAGACATCACACCACTGTCAATAAATGTTTCTTTAAGGTCCTGCCTGTAATAATAATAATTTTTTTAAAAAGTCAAGTCTATGTTTCTTGGTTCTCCTGTACTTACTCTGACTTTCTTTTATATTTTTAATGATATATCCAAAAATTCCTTCTAAAGACTAACATTTATTCAATATTTACTAAACATCTATTCTGATTCAAAAGGAGTAGGGAATATCCTATTTTCCAGAAATGTACAGACTTTACGTGAAAAGATGATTTGCTCAAAACAAAACAAAATTACACCAGATAGTGGTGTAATTAAATGATACAAGTAATAGGAACAAGGAGCTCCAATGATAGTCAAGTACCACATAATGATGTTTTTATTTTTTTTTTAAGAATTATTTTATTGGGACCAGCAGTTAGCGTAATGGCTATGTCGCCGGACTCCCACGTAGTCGACCGCGGTTCAAGTCCTGGGCCCGGTGGCTTAAACTCATGCCGGTGCATATGTGTGTGTGCCCAAGATCCCGAGAGGAGAATGGAGGAAAAAGGATTGCAGTGTGACCATCCCCCCTGGGGGGTGATTTCTTGCTTTCTGTCTCTCTCTGTCTGGCAAGCGCACACACCCTATAGCAAAAACCTCTCCAAAAAAATAAATAAATAAAAATAAAGAATTATTTTATTTAACTTTATTTATTTATTTTTAATATGACCAGAGAGGGAGGGAAAGTGAGAAGGGAAGCCGCCAGGTCTGGGACTTGTACAGTGGTTGGCCAGGTGGGAGTCCCAATGCCCTTAACCACTACGCCATCTGCTGGCCCCCATAATGATGTTTTTGTCATCAGTAAAATGCATAAACGATGGCGGGCCTGTGAGATTTTAACAGGCTATGTATCACCTCGCCTAGGTAATGTAGTAGGCTGTACCATCTAGGTTTGTATAAATACACTCTAAGATGTGCACACAATGAAAAAAGTTACCTAATGATGCATTTCTTAGGACATATTCCTGTTGTGAAGTGACAGTCTATATTATAGCTAAAAAAAAAAATCTTTAATCTGTCAGAATAGTGATTTTCAAACAGTTTAAGGTAATGGAAAACCGGAAAGTGTTTTATTCTTTGCATGCTACTCTCCTGACAGAAATAAACTCAATAAGATACTGCTAGTTAGAGGACCAGCAGGTGGCATGGTGGTTTAGGCACTGGACACTCTTACATGGCTGACTCACCATGGTTTGAGTCCTGGACCTGGTGGCTTACTTTCTCACTTTCTCTCTCTCTGGTCAAATTAAAATAAATGAATGAATAAATAAAAATAAATAATTCTTTTAAAAAAGATACTGATATTTAAGTTTCATTTTGTGCAGAACCAATTCATTAAGAGAAACTATGATCATATTATGTATGTAAAAAACCTGGTACAGACAGTTTTGCCTGTTAAAAGTAGCAGTTTTCTTTTTTAAAAACATTTAATTTTATTTATTCTTTTTTTTCTTTTTTTTTAATTTGACCAGAGTAATAGAGAGAGAGAGAGAGAGAGAAAGTCAGAAAGCAAGTCACCAGGTCTGGGACTTAAACCATGGTTGGCCATGTGGGAATGTCCAGCATCTTAACCACCACACCACCTGCTGATCCCAGAAGTAGCAATTTTCTAGCTGAATTGTCATAGGCCATGCTGTGGCTAACTGATGTATTCATGTGTATTTTTAGCCATCAAAAACGGGCTATGGGTTAACTCAAAAAGAAAGCAAAGCTGCTCATGAATGTAAACCAGCCACAGGACCACCAGAAAGCAATATGGTTACATCGCTGGACTCCCACAAAGTTGACCAAGGTTAAAGTCCTGGAGCTGGCGGTTTGAAACTCACACCGGGCACACATGCGTGCATACCCAAAATCCTGAAAGGAGAATGGAGGAGAAGGGTTTGTGGTATGGACATTCTCCCCACCAGAAGGAATGGCTTCTCACTTTCTGTCTTTCTGTCTCTCTAGTGAGTATATACTGTACAGCAAAAATCTCTCTCAAAAAAAAGGAAAAAAAAAAAAAAGAATGTAAACCAACCAAAGAATCTGGTTAATAGAGATCTATGAAGAAAGGTCATCATTTCAGAAGGATCAATAACAGCAGGATCAATCACTGTGATGTAATGGGGCCATGTAACCCTTTATATAATTGTGTTACAAGTACAGCCTCTCAGAATTTGCTATTTTTAATCACACTGGAAAAACAGATGCAATTTTAGCAGACCCAAATCTGTCTATAAAAAAAGAAACCAATAATTTCTCAGTTTTTCTTTTGTTAATACTGGTTTTCTATTTGTTCTATTTGTAATAAGTTTCAAGGTTTAGAAAAAATTCATAAAGAAATAAAATTTAAATTTAATTCATTATTTTTTTCTGTGAGCTATCATTACTTAATATCCCTAGGATACAAGTACATTGTTTTAAACATCATTTATTACACTAAAAGGAAAATCTTTTTCAAGAAAACAAAATACTTACTTCTTAAGGTGCATAACCACAGTAGGTAATAAAGTTAATTTCTTTAGTGCTGGCTTTTTTTGATTGTTCAGTTGTCGGTCTTCCTATCAAGAGAAAAAGATTAAAATCACACACACACAAGAGTGTGAACTGTTTATAGTGAACTATAACCATAAATAAAGCAGCAGTTTCACAAAGAAATAATTTTTCCCTGTAGAAAGGGATAACTAAAACTGCTATGGTTTAGAAATAATTGTTTGTTCCCCCAGGACTCATATGTGTGGTCCCTAATGTTATGGCATTCGGTGGGGTGAGACCTTTCAAAAGACCCACCTTCTATGTGGACGGGCACCATCCAATGGAGTGGGATTGTGGGAGGGAAAAAAAGAAGAGTGGAAAAGTCTGTCTCCACCCCAACCCCTAGCAGGATAATGAAAATAATAGGTATTTTACACAGTACCAAATTCTGTACCTGTGTCAATCAAATCCATAATACTTAGAAGAGTCACCTTTAACAATTGAACTGAGAACTATTTTAATTTAAAATACAGGCATAAATGTCAAGTTTTCAGAATTTATTAAAGGTGCAAATAAGACCTGGGAAATTCTAGCGTATTATAAAAAATGATTTTTCCAGGTATGAGGCATGAATAATATAGGAATACATTGTTAAAGAGCTTCAATATCTGGACAATTATTTTTTCAATTATAAAAAATTTCAAATTCTACAAAAACAGAATATCCCTGGTCATGTACCCTTTAACATTTAAAGACTCACAACCAGTACTGTTTTATCTAGATCTCTAGCTATTTTTCCATCTATTCATGAACTTTTTTGAACAAGTCAGTGATCTGAATCCATGAATACTTCACCAAGTGTCTCTAAATGATAAGACTTTGCTTGCTTGCTTGTTTATTTATTTATTTATGTATTTAATTTATTTATTTTTAGTTTTGCTATAGGGCATGGGCAAGTGTTCCCCGAGATAAGGACAAAAAGTGAAAAATCCCCCAGGCAGCATGGCCATGCCATAATCCCTTCTCCTCCCTTCTCTTAGGATTTTGGGCATGCCTATACTTGTGCTTGGTATTTTTTTTCAAGTCACTGAGTCCAGGACTCAAACTATGTAGCTGGCCATGAGAGATCCAGCTGCCTTAACCTCCATGCCACCTGTTGGCCTAAGAACTTGTTTTTAAAACATAAATCTGGGATCAGCTGATGATACGATTGTATCACTGGACTCCCACATAGCTGACCACGGTTCTAGTCTTGGACCAAACGGCTTTAAAACTCACACCAGGTGGGACCAGCAGTTGGCGTAATGGCTATGTCCCTGGACTCCCATGTAGTCAACTGCGGTTTGAGTCCCAGACCTGGTGGTTTAAACTCATACCAGGCACATATGCATGCATACCCAAGATCTTGAAAGAATGGAGAAGGAACTGCAGCATAGCCATCCCCTCTGGGGGCTGATTTCTCACGTTCTGTCGCTCTGTCTCTCTCTTTCTGGTGAGTGCACATGCCCTATAGCAAAAACCTCTCAAAACAGAAACAAACAAACAAACAGAAACAATCCTCATACCATGTGTGTGTGCATGAAGAGATTGTGGCATGGGTGATTTCTCACTTTCTGTCTCTTTGTCTTTCCAGCAAGCACATGTGACCTATAACAAAAATCTCTCTAAAAAAAACCCCAAAAAACCTGTAATTCTAAGCCAATTTTTATAATTTGAGCAGATTTTAACAATGCAATGAACTAGATATAGTCTATTAATCAGAGGCAAGAGAATGACACTTGTGTTCACAACATTGCTTCTTAAAAATGTACTTTATTTCCTATAAGGCATGTGTGCTCATGAGAAAGAGAGAGAAGAGAGAAAGCCACCAGATCTGGGACTCAAACCCTGGTTGGCTATGTGGAAATCAAGCACCTCAACTACCACACCACCTGCCGGCCTCATTTTTTATCTTATTTTTAAAACAGTTTGCTATAGGATCCATGCAATTGTTGGAGAAAGATAGGGGGGGGGGGGGGGGGGAAATACAAACAGTAAGTGAGAAATCATCCCTATGGGAATGGTCATGCCATAATCCCTGCTCCTCTGGGGATTTTGAATACACATGCACATGCGTCCAGTGTTTTCCAAGGCACCAGGGTCTAGGATTTGAACAGTGCAGTCAGCCATGGGGGATATGACCACCATGCTACCTGGTTGGCTCCATAACACTTTTTATACATGAAGAAACATCAAACTGCAGCAAACCAGCCAAATCAGAGAACAAAGCCATTCATTTCTCATAAAACTATCAAAGCCATTCACCTAATTAGGTTCATCTTACTTAATACTTAAGCCTTCTTGCTTTTCTCTAAACACGTGACTTAAAAATTTCAGATTATTTTTATGCTTAAAAGTTAGAACAGTAAATTCTTTACAATAAAAAGCAAAGTGTTGTACATGTAGTATAAGTACAGGCTAAGTCCTTAATAACAATAACAACAATAATATTAATAATAAAAAGTTGCCCAACCAATTAATTCACTGGGGGAAGATGGTAACCCCGGAAGTACCACATCTTACCTCAGCAGCTTCATTCATCTTGACTATCATGGCGCTCACAACATCATCAGCGTCACTGATGAAGGTTCCCCCATCCCGGTTCCGCCTGCGCTTGCCACTCATGCTCTTTTTCCGCTGCAACATCATCTCAAAATCTGATAGAAAGTCCATACTAAGAAGTAAGAGAAAAACAAGAAAAATTAAAATGAAATACACACGTTTACTACAGTTAAGAATACCAAATTCCAGGCCAGCCAGTGGCATGGTGGTTAAGGCAGCTGGATCCCACATGGCCCACTGGGTGGTTCAAGTCTGGACCTGGTGGCTTGGGGGGGGACGACACATCAAATTTCTTAACTCTAACTCAATAAAGTGCTCTTTCCTTTTAAAAGTGGAAGTACTGCTAGCCTGAGGCTTTATGTTCAAGTCCTGTACTCTTCCAATTGCTCTAACTTGGCCACTAGTAACTCTAAACTTTCAAAACACTGCACTCTGTGTTCACTTGCATATATCAGTTTAAGAAGGAACATTTCAAAATAAATTGCTACCTTTTTTTTTTTTGAGAGGTTTTTGCTACAAGGCGTGCACGCTTGCTGGACAGACAAAGAGAGAGAGATAGAAAGTGAGAAATCACCCCCCAGGGGGATGGCCATGCCGCAATCCCTTCTCCATTCTCCTCTCGGGATCTTGGGCATGCATGCACACGTGCCCAGCGTGAATTTAAGCCACCAGGTCCAGGACTCGAACCGCGGTCAACTACATGGGAGTCCAGTGACATAGCCATCACACTAACTGCTGGTCCCGAATAAATTGTTGCTTTTCAGAAGCATAGTTCTCAAAACATAATGTGAATAAGATAAAGATGGAAATCTATGCGCCAGCCTCACAACCTACAAATTATAAAGGAAATGGATCCCCCATGGCTGACAACAGTTTGAATCAGAGCCCCAGACTTGAAAACATGACACATAAGCAGCATGACCCAAATCCTGATGGAAAGAATGGAAGAAAAGGGGTTGGTGGGGGCAGCTTTCTCCCTTTCTGTCTCTGGTGAGCACATATTCCCTCTGGCAATTAACAAAATAAATGGATGGGGGCCAGCAGGTGACGTGGTGGTTAAGGGCGCTGGACTCCCATATGGCTGACTATAGTTCGAGTCCAAGACCCAGTGGCTTGCTTTCTCACTTTCCCTCTTTCCTTCTCCCTTTCTCACTCTGTCTTTCTCTGGTCAAATAAAAAAATAAATGAACTTTAAAAATAAAGTTAAATAAAATAATTAAAAATAAATAAAAAATAGGGACCAGCAGTTGGCGTAATGGCTATGTCTCTGGACTCCCATGTAGTCGACCGCGGTTCGAGTCCTAGACTCAGTGGCTTAAACTCACGCCGGGTGTGTGTGTGTGTGTGCCCAAGATCCTGAGAGGAGAATGGAGGAGAAGGGATTGCGGCATGGCCACCCCCCATCAAAGGTGATTTTTCACTTTCTGTTTCTGTCTGTCTGTCTGTCTTTCTGGGGAGGGCAAGTGCCCTACAGTAAAAACCTCTCCAAAAAAAAAAAGAAAGAAAAAGGGTGAAAAACTATAGGTTTGCTAAGAGCCTCAAATCTTTCACTGGAAAAGAGGAATAATACACTGTCACAATCATAAATAAAATTTCAAGAGAACTGCCAGGGGCCAGCATTTGGGAGTAATGGTTACGTCATTGAACTCCCACAGAGCTGACCCTGGTTTGAGTCTCTGACCCAGTGGCTTGAAACTTATGGCAGGTGCATGTGCATTTGTGCTCAAGCTCTCGGAATAGAGGAAAAGGAATTGCAGCATGGCCATCCCCCTAAGGGGATGATTTCTCACTTTCGGTCTCTCTCCAGCTAGCTCATGTACCTTATAATAAAAATCTCTTTAAAAAAAAAAAAGTACTGCCAAATTTGTTATTTTTTGCATGCCAGTAAGAATTAAAAAGAAAACAATTTTTTAAAAGTATTATCTTTATCATTGTAAACAGTAACTGGTCATTCTATGCTCATAAGGCATGTTTCAAGATACCAGATTTCTCTCAACAAAAGGGAACCACAATCAAGTAATATTTTGTAGTTAAGACTTCAGAGTTGTTGATTATCCCAAAATTAGCTTTTCACTCAAAAAATGTATTCTTAAATTACATTATTTTCAGAAGACTTCACTTGGTGAGTCTGGTACTATATAAATATAACTCTGCTCTGAGCACAGGGCAAATAAAAGAAAAATAAGTAATTCACCAATAACACTGTATATAGAGAAGTAGAAGGGAGAAAAATGGGAACAGATTCTCTCCTACGTTTAACTATGAACCAAAATGAAAACACAAACAAACAAAAATGTAACAGTCTCTCTACCTTATTTTAGTTTTCTAACAAATTCCTTAAAAAACAACAACCAGGCCAGCCTCATATCCTAGTGGTTAAAGGATCTAAATCACATGTGGCTGACTGTGGTTCAAGGCCCTCACCCGGCATCTTGAGAAACATGCCAGGTATGTTTGAACCTAAAATCCTTACAGGACGAGGCCAGCAAATGGCGTGGTGGTTAAGGTGTTGGACTTGCACATGGCCAACCATGGTTTGAGTCCTAGACATGACATTTTCTTTTTCACTTTGCCTTTCTCTCTCACTGGTCAAATTAAAAGATAATAACAAGATCAAATTAAAAAGCAAGCAAACAAACAAAAACCTTACAGGATGGAGTAAATGAGAGTGCTTGCTGCCTACTAGTGGAGAAGAGGATTTGTCCTGCTCCCTCTTTAGGAAGTACATGTGCCCTCTGGTGATTTGCAAAAAAAGAAACTCCAAAAAAACCCAGAAATGACACCAAAAAAAAAAACTTACTGTTTTCCTCTCTTTATGTTATCATCAGAATCTGAATCTCCAGCTTCTTTTACCTGTGTTTCACCTTTTTCTTCTTCTAAATCCTCTTGGTTAAAACCCTAAAGACAAACAAAAATGAAATAGATATCAAAAGGTATGCAGCAGGACCTCCCTGCTTAGCTGCTTGCATTTATTAGTTTTCCTGCATTTTCTTCCAGAAGTAGTCTGTATTTGCAGAAGCACTTCTACACACAGATACAAGGAGACATCAAAAAGTACATAGAACAGGCCAGCAGGGGGTGGCTAAGTCACCAGATTCTCACCTGGCTGACTGAGGTTATAGCCTTGGATCTGGAAGCATGAAAAATGATGCCAGACACATGTGCATAGGTGTTTATAATCCAAGAGGAAAATGGAGAAGGGGTCGCAGCGTGGCACGTGATTTCTCACTTTCCCTCTCTCCGTCTCTCTCCAGCCAGTGCACCTGCCCTAAGGTTAAAAAACTTAAAAAAAAAAAAAAAAGTATATGGAAAAATAAAATTAAAAGTACCACTTTAGGGCCAGCAGGTATGTGGAGGCTGAGGCAGCTTGATGACATATAACTGATTTCATGGTTTGAGTCCCAGATCAAGAGGCTTCAAAATACTTTGGGCATGTGTGTATGCTCAAAATCCTGCAAGGAAGATGGAGAAGGGATTGTGGCATGGCCACCCATGGTGATGAAAGTGATTTCTCACTCTCCATCTTTTTCTCTCTCTGGTGGGCACATGTACCCTACAGCGAAACTTGAGTCTCAGTTTATTTTGATGCAAAAAAACTGAAATCCACATGATTTCCCCATGATATACATTTTCCCCTTTCATTATATAAATGGCACCATATATGATTTATAATGGATATGGGATAGTGCTCTGTGCTTCCTTTTTACTTTTTTTTTTTTAGGTTTTTTGCCATAGGGCATGTGGGCTTGTCAGACAGATAGTGAGAAATCACTCCCCAGAGAGGATGGCCATGCCATGATTCTTCTCCATTCTTCTCTTAGGATTTTGGGCACAGGCCCCCGGTGTGATTTTCAAGCCACTGGGCAGAGACTTGAATCATGATCTACCACATGGGAGTCTAGAGACTTTGCCACACCAAGACCTGTTGGGCCCCACTGATCTGCACTTTCTAAATTTAACAGAATTTAGAGAGCAATTCATACTATTATAAAAGTATCCTTCTCCTTTAACCATATGGTTGTAACCATAATTTGTTTGCAAATTTTGCAATATTTGCAATACTGACATTTTGAGATGTATATTTGAAATTTTAAAAAATATTTGTCAATTGTCTTCAGTAAAAGTTATACTAATTATTAGTTTTCCTTCCAGCAGGTATACGATTTTTCTCTACCTTCTCATCTTTTCTTTGTTGTTCTTATTTTGGGGAGAGGTTTTTGCTATAGGGTACATGCACTTGCCAGAGACAGAGAGATAGAAAGCGAGAAATCACTCCCCAGGGAGGACTGCCATGCCGAAATCCCTTTTCCTCCATTCTCCTCTTGGGGTCCAGGACTCGAACCGCAGTCGACTACATGGGAGGTCCAGTGACATAGCCATTACACTAACTGCTGTTCCCTCTGCCTTCTCATCTTATAGAAGGTTATCAAACATTACTATCTGCCAAATTCTGGCCCAAAAAAACCAAAAGGCATCTGAGTGTAGCTTTATTTGCATTCTCTTATTATAAGTAAAGTTGAGCACTTCTTTATGTTTACAAGCCTATTTGTAATTCTTTCTGTGAACTTTCAGTAAGCACCAAAGAATAAGAGATCCTTATGTAGCCTTTTTGGTCTGCTTGTTCTGCTGGTTGCATTCCACCGGATGGAAGGGTTGTATCCATTTCTCCATTTCCCGTAACATTTGAGTCAACTTTTTTTTTTTTTTTTTGAGAGGAGGTTTTTGCTATAGGGCGGGCTTGCAAGACAGACAGAGACAGAGAGACAGAAAGTGAGAAATCGGGATGTCCGCGCCGCAATCCCTTCTCCTCCGTTTTCCTCTTGGGATCTTGGGCACGCACGCACACATGCCTGGCGAGAGTTTTAAGTCACCGGGTCCAGGACGCAAACCGCAGTAGACTACATGGGAGTCCAGTGACATAGCCATTACACTAACTGCTGGTCCCTTGAGTCAACTTTTATGTCTACACATTTACAGTCATGTTATTAGGAATATACCATTTTATTTAACTATTTATTTATTTATTTAGACAGACCAGAGAGGGACAGACTGGGAGAGAGAAAAGGAGAGAAAGGTGGGGGGGGGGAGGAAAAGTGAGAAGACAAGCCACCAGGTCTGGGAATCAAACCATGGTCAGCCATGCAGGAGTCTAAACCTTAACTATCATGCCACCTGCCAGCCCCAGAGAGATACAATTTTAAAACCTTTTATCAATAATAAAGTGACTCTCTTATCTTTTATCTCTTTAATGTCTTTACTTTAAAGTCTACCTCTTGAGGCCAGCAGGTGGCATAGCAGTTAAAGCACTGGACATACACATTGCAACTGCAGTTTTTGAGTCCTGGACCTGGAGGTTTAAAACTCACAACATGTGTATGTACATGCGTGCCCAAAATCTCAAGAGAATAGAGGACAAAGGATTGTGGTGTGGTCACCCATCCCCAGAGGGATGATTTCTCATTTCCTCTGTGTCTCCAGTGAGTGCATGTATCTTACAGCAAAAATAATTTCTGCCTCCCCACCAAAAGACTACCTCGCTGATATAAACACAGCTATGCCAGCGTCTTTCAGTTAGTGTTCACATTATATATCTTGTCTAATCCCTTCATTTTCAATTTTTCCTTACCTTCTGTTTCAGATTAAGATTAATCTTTTTCTCCCCCCTAGAAGGTGCATGTACTCTCCAGAGACAGAAAAGAGCAAGCACACCCAGGGAGAATGGTCATGCTGCAATCCCTTCTCCTCCACCTCTCACCTTTTGGGATTTTGGTATGCATACAAACGTACACAGCATGTTTTTCAAGCTGCCAGGTCCGGGACTCGAATCGTGACTGGTCATGTGGGATAAACTGTCTCAACCACTAAGTCACAGAGCTGGCCCAAAACGAATCTCTTTAAGTATACAGCTTGTTTTAAAAATATAATCTGGTGATCGGCAGGTGGCATTGTGGTTAAGGCGCTGGACTTCCACGTGGCCAACCATGGTTTGAATCCTGAACCCAGTTGCTTGAAACTTGTGCTGGGTGCGTGTGCATGTGTCCCCAAAATCCCAAGAGTAGATAGAATGAATAAGGAATTGAGGCATGGCCATCCCCCCCTTGAGGGTGATTTCTCGCTTTCTGTCTCTCTGTTTCTCCAGTGAGTGCACACATCCTATAGCAAAAATCTTTCTTAAAAAAAAAAAAAAAATCTAGGGATCAGCAGGTGGTGTGGTGATTAAGGTGCTGAACACTCCCACATGGCTGATCACGGTTCAAGTCCTGGACCTGATGGCTTGCTTTCTCACTTTCTCTCTCTCTATGCCTCTCTGGTCAAATTAAAAATAAATAAATGAATAAATAAAATTATTTAAAAAAATCCAATCTGACCACCTGTCCTTAAATTGGTGTATTTAGTACATTTATATGCAATATAATTTCTGACATTAATGAAGTTTTAATCTGCTATCTTACTATGTACCACCTTCTAATTGTCCCATTATATATATTTATTGCTTTTCCTAGGCTGATTAGCTTTCATTATTTCACTTTTTCCCTCAATTCATTTGGAAGTTACATATTCCATCACAATCTTTTTAAAATTTTTTTTAAAGCAAGATTTTTACTATGGTGCATGTGCACTCGCCAGAGAGACAAAAAGCGAAGAATCACCTCCGAGAAGGGATGGCCATACCTCAGTCCCTTCTCCATTCTACTCTCAGGATTTTGGGCATACACACACATGTGCGCCTGACTTGAGTTTCAAGCCAGTGGGTCCAGGACTTGAACCACAGTTTGCAATATGGGAGTTCAACAACATAACCATCACACCACCTGTTGGTCTCTTGTTATTTTTAAATAGTCTATCTTACAAATTATTTAATTAATATTGCTATTATGTCTTCTTTCTTTCTTTTTTTTTTTTTTTTTTGAGGGAGGGGGGGCTTTTGCTATAGAGCACATGTGCTTGTCAAAAAGAAAGAGACAGAGACAGAAAGTGAGAAATCACTCCCCAGGGAGGAATGGCCATGCCACAATCCCTTCTCCTTCATTCTCCTCTTGGGATCTTGGGCATGCATACACACAGGTGAGAGTTTAAGCCAGAGAGACAAAAAGAGAAGAATAAACTCTGAGAAGGGATGGCCATACCTCAGTCCCTTTGTAGTCTGGGACTCAAACTACAGACGACTAAACGGGAGTCCAGCGACACAGTCATTACGCCAACCACTGGTCCCAATATTACTATTTTTTTTAAAAAAAAATTTGCTATAGGGCATGTACACTCACCAGAGAGAGACAGAGAGAAACCAAGCCACCAGGTCCAGGACTTGAGCCACAGTTTGTAATGTGGGAGTCCAGCACCTTAACACACCACCACCTGCTGGCCCTTCATAGTTTTTTAGTGGTTTTAGAGACAGACATATTCTAACTTATTCAAAGTTTTCTAACATATATTTAAATGTATTTGAAAAGACTTATGAACATTTCATTTCATGCACACTCCCACTTTGTTACAGCTGCCATACATTTTAATTAAACATATATATATTTTTAAGCTACATCAACTTAAGACACTTTGTTCTGGGACATACTTATCTTGCTTTCTTCCTTCCTACATTTCTAACCTTGTACCTTAGGTCATTTTCTTTCAGATGGTATACTATCAATTCATTTCCTCCTTATTTAATGTTCACTCCTAAAGTATATTTGCTGAATGTAACAGAATTCTAAGTTTGCAGTTACTGGATTCCACAGTTTCTATTGAGAAGCGAGCTACTGGTCTGTTACTCTTCTGAATGTAATTCTTTTCCTGTGGCTGCTTTTGAGATTTTCCTAGTTTCTTTTTTTTTTTTGGGTGGGGGGTAGTTTTTTATATAATAATGTACTTGGGTGTAATTTCTTTTTATTTATCCTGCTTAATCTATAGGATATCTATAATCTATAGCTTTATATATTATCATTAAATATTGCTTCTTATTCTTTTTTGTGAGTGTTTTTGCCATAGGCCTTGTGTGCTTGCTGGAGAAATAAAGTAAGAAATCAATCCCAAGGTCATGCAGCAATCCATTAACCTCTTGGGATTTTAGGCATGTATGCATAGGCACTTGGTGTGATTTTCAGGTGGCCAGGTCTAGGACTTGAACTGCGACTGGCCAAGTGGGAGTCCAGAGCCTTAACCACCACACCATCTGATGGCACCAATATTGCTGCTTCTATTATATGAATCTGTCCCTCTCCTCGTATTTCAACTTGTTAAATATTCTCATATATAATTTCTTTTTCTTTTAAATCTTCTATAATAATGTATCTCAGTGATTCTTTCTAAAGACTTCCTCTAACCTATCTTCTAATTCACTAATTTACTTTTTTTATAATTATTTTATTTAACTTTTATTATTATCATCATTATTATTTTCCAGTTTGATCAGAAAGAGAGAGAGAGGAAGTGAGAAAGCAAGCCACCAGGTCCAAGACTGGAACCGTGGTAGGCCATGTGGAAGTCCAGTGCCCTTAACCACCATGCCACTTGCAAGCCTCTCACTAATTTACTTTTTAAATGTCTATCTGTTGTTATACTCTCTGAGTTAATTGTTCTTAATTTTAGTTACTGTATTTTACAATTTTGTAACTTCCACTTGGTTCTTTCCCAAATCTACCCTGTCTTTTTTTAACTGTTTGTTATGACCAAGTTTTAAATCGTTTTTCTCTCTGATCATACATGTTTTTAAGGCAACACCTAAAATTGCTATATCTAGGCCCCTAGGTCTATTTCTACTGTCTTGCTTCTTTTTAATGTTATCTTGTGCACCATACTGTACGTATGAAAAACTCAATAACCATTGTAATATAATTTGAGACTGAGGTTCTCTTGTTTTCTAGATAACTTAAAGCTGTCCTCAAAATCTTTGCAAAAGCTATTTTATTTCATTCTTTTTTTTGGGGGGGTAGAGATTTTTGCTATAGGGCGCATGCACTTGCTGGACAAACAGAGAGAAAGAGAGAAATCACCCCCAAGGGGGGCCACGCTGCAACCTCTCCTCCTCCATCTTCCTCTTGGGAATGTGGGCACATATGCACACGTGCCCAGGTTGAGTTTTAAGTCTCTTAGTCTGGGACTCATACCATGGTCAACTACATAGGAGTCCAGCCACATAATCATCATACCACCTGCTGGTCCCTTATTTACTTTTTTAAAAGACATTTTTGCTATAGGGTGCTTGCGTTCACTGGAGAGACAGAGAGAGGGAGAGGGAGAAGGAAAGAGAGGGAGGGAGGAAGGAAGGGAGGGAGGAAGAGAGAGAGAGAGAGACAGTGAGAAATCACCCTCCAGAGGATGGCCATGAGGCAAACCCTTTTCCTCTGTTCTCCTCTCAGAATTCTGGGCACTCATGCCTGGCCTGAGTTTTAAGCCACTAGGTCCAAGACTTGAACCATGGCCGGCCATGTGGGAGTCCAGCACCTTAACCACTAAGCCATTTGCTGACCCAAAGACCACTTTATTTTCAGTTCAGTCTGAATCCTACGGTGCAGCTCTTTGGTGTCCCAATTCAGGGCACAAGTTTTTAAACAGTCTCCTAGTCTCAGCAGGCCTTGAACTCCCAAATTTTATCTACCTATAAGACTTGAGGATATTAAAAATGTGGGCAGCCTCCCAAATAAATCCTTGACAGGAAAAGTAGCTCTAAACACGAAGCTACCTCTCTAGTTTTCTGTCTTATGGCTTAGTAACTCTTTTCTTTGTTCCATTGGTGATGAGTAGACTTTAAAATATTTTGTTCAGATATTCTAGTTGTCTTTAGCAGAAGAGTTAGTACAAATAACCTAGGCTGCCACTGAGATAGTAAGTTGCACGACTACTGTGAATCTTACACTGTCTCTTACTGTGTTCAGTTCAATTTTGCCTGTATTTTCCTTCTATGCCTTTGTAAATCCTTTCATTTCACTTTCTAAATCCCTTTCTTCTCAATTTCTTTCTTGATTACATTGGATTGTCTACGCCTACTTACTGAAATCACCCATTGGAGAAGCACTGCCATTAAAAAATATATTAAAAAAAAAAAAAACACACAAAGAGGAAATACATCTTATACTTACTGTAAATTCTTCTTCTTCTTCATCACCAGATTCTCCAAATATGTCTGCAATAAGATTTCTAAAAAATAAGTATTTAAAAACATTTATTTGCTTTCCTCTCATGTGCCTTAGAGCCATTTAAAAACATGCTATATGCTAGTAACATATGCAGCTAAGTGTTCAGTTGAACGGGTCCTAACAAATGTATAAACTCATGTAACCAGCCCCCAAATCAAGATACAGAACAATCTCAACTCCCCTGAAAGTTTCCTCTTGGCTCTCTCTAGTCAGTCTCCCAACATCAAAATCCTAGAGGTAATTACCTCTCTGTTCTCCAGCACCCTACATTAATTTTGCTGTTCTTGAACTTTATGGAAATGGAATTCTATAGGTCCTCTTTGCTTCTTTCATGTAACTTATTATTTGGGGGATTTATCTATGCAGTGTTTAGCAGGAATTCAGGAACTAAAATCCGAGTCATAAAATTAAATATATTATCTAACACAAGATTTCAATGTAAGTCTGAAAAACCTAAGACACCCCCCTCTGTAGCATCTACTAAAAACCCTTGAAAACTCACGTTATGCTGTCACTTACTCTTCTTCATTGCCTGACTCACTATCGCTCCCAAATAGATCCTTTTCTTCATTTTTCTTATCAGACAACTCTTCTTTTCCTGCTTCTTCTTCACTGTCAGATGCTATGGTTTTCTCTCTTTTACTAGACTTATCTAATATAACATCACTGTCAGAGTCATCTGCATCAGAGACAACACGGCTCTTCTTTGCTGTTGACAAAAAACACCATCAATCATACTTTGTCAGTCACTGCACTACTAAGCCTAACAGATACCTTTAGATGGCAGTATAAGGCAAAACCAAACAATGACAAGTGGTTTAGGGAAAAAAAAAACAAAAAACAAAAAACAAAAAAAAACCCCTCATACAAATTATTATTTTGCTTAGGAAAAAGTGGCCGAAAGATGAAGGAAAAAAAAACCATCAATTATAGACATGGGCATTGGGCCAGCAGGTGATGTGGTGGTTAAGGTGCTGGATTCCCACATGGCCAACGGTGGATTGAGTCTGACCTGGGGCTTGCTTTCACACTTTCTTTTGTTCTGTGTCTCTCTCTGGTGAATGCACATGCACTACAACAAATTTTAAATAATAAAATAAAATAAGAGGTAGGTATCAGCAGCTACCTTTCTCTTTGGAGAACAAAGAAAATTAAGGTAAGACTAATAGGCAGAACTGGCACCTATAACATGCTGCCTAGTATTAGCAGAACTAAAAAAGGAATGAATATTCCTCTTTTAGGAATATTCCCCAGAAATCTTAGTTGTTGTTAGTCAATTTGAAATTTCTCATCTTCCTTAACAAACTGGTAGCATGTGTGTAGCCCTCTTTTTATTTCTCCTATAGCTGTCAGGTTATAAAGGAATAATGTAAGGTTATAGAAGAATGTCTTTTCCAAAAAGTAAGTTTTGTAAAAAAGGAATCAAGTGAAAATTACTATCTATGAAAATAGGTTCCAAACAGCAAAAACTGAGATACTTTAGAGACAGGGAGTCTCTAAGCAGAATTCTACTTCCCCACAAACTTTCCTATATTGGGTATTACACAATGTTTAATAAATGAAGAGAAATATCTGTAGAAGTTCAGTTACTATCTGCATGGGTCTAGTGAATTAGCTGTCAGAGACCTATAGCTAACTCTGGGAATAGTCAGGGTTTTCATGTAAACATATTCCTTTGAAATGTTATCTTTTCCAGTAAAAACACAACAAAACCAAGCCTTCTGTAATCTCTATAACATAACACTTGGTCTAAGGTAGTTTAAAATTCACGGATGCTACTAGAACTCAAAGGAAATTCAGTATAAGCTTAGCCAATGACAATCAGGGCAATGAGTAGTGATACTGAGATTATAGAACTGAATGGCAGCTGAACACATACAACAGAAAAGGATACAATGTTGCAGGCCCCCCCCATTCCCCTTTGCTATGGGACACATGTACTCCCCAGAGAGAGCAAAAATGAGAAAGCTACCCCAGGGAATGGCCACACAGCAATGTCTTCTCCTCCTTTCCTCTCTAGGAATTTGGGCACTCATGCACACACGCCCAGTGTGTGAGGAGCTATGGAGCTCCTCACTTTTTAAGCCACAGGGTCCAAGACTTGAACTGTGCAGTCAGTCACACAGGATCCATTGTCTTAACTACTGGCTGGCCTGTTGGAGTACGAAGCTTAGATAGTAAGTAAAGCTACCAATAAATAGTTAAAGATAATTCCTTACATGCTTTCTCTTCATCTTCACTATCAGAAAGCACAGCAGCTTTTCGCTTTGCTACTTTCTCCTCCTCACCCTCTTTCTCTTCATCATCTTCACTGTCAATTTTTTGCCCTTTGGGTTCTTCTTCCTCACTGTCAGAACTGTGAAACCTTTTCCTGTCTGTATGGGTATCTGAATGAAAGGAGTCAGTCTGCATTTCTGTATTCTCTCTCTTACTCTCTCCATCACTATCATCATCAGATTCTGGCTTTTGTTTGTGTCTGGTGGCACCCTCAGTTTCTGAATCACTCGCAGGTCCCTTCTGAGGCTCTTCACTTTCAGAGTCACTAACGCGGGGTTTGGGTGGCTCTTCATTTTCAGAATCAGTGGCCTGGTTCCTTGGTGGGTCTTCACTTTCTGAATCACTAATTTGAGGTTTGGGAAGCTCTTCATTTTCTGAGTCACTTCATGTAACCAGCCCCCAAATCAAGATACAGAACAATCTCAACTCCCCTGAAAGTTTCCTCTTGGCTCTCTCTAGTCAGTCTCCCAACATCAAAATCCTAGAGGTAATTACCTCTCTGTTCTCCAGCACCCTACATTAATTTTGCTGTTCTTGAACTTTATGGAAATGGAATTCTATAGGTCCTCTTTGCTTCTTTCATGTAACTTATTATTTGGGGGATTTATCTATGCAGTGTTTAGCAGGAATTCAGGAACTAAAATCCGAGTCATAAAATTAAATATATTATCTAACACAAGATTTCAATGTAAGTCTCCTCATACAAATTATTTTGCTTAGGAAAAAGTGGCCAAAAGATGAAGGAAAAAAAAACCATCAATTATAGACATGGGCATTGGGCCAGCAGGTGATGTGGTGGTTAAGGTGCTGGATTCCCACATGGCCAACGGTGGATTGAGTCTGACCTGGGGCTTGCTTTCACACTTTCTTTTGTTCTGTGTCTCTCTCTGGTGAATGCACATGCACTACAACAAATTTTAAATAATAAAATAAAATAAGAGGTAGGTATCAGCAGCTACCTTTCTCTTTGGAGAACAAAGAAAATTAAGGTAAGACTAATAGGCAGAACTGGCACCTATAACATGCTGCCTAGTATTAGCAGAACTAAAAAAGGAATGAATATTCCTCTTTTAGGAATATTCCCCAGAAATCTTAGTTGTTGTTAGTCAATTTGAAATTTCTCATCTTCCTTAACAAACTGGTAGCATGTGTGTAGCCCTCTTTTTATTTCTCCTATAGCTGTCAGGTTATAAAGGAATAATGTAAGGTTATAGAAGAATGTCTTTTCCAAAAAGTAAGTTTTGTAAAAAAGGAATCAAGTGAAAATTACTATCTATGAAAATAGGTTCCAAACAGCAAAAACTGAGATACTTTAGAGACAGGGAGTCTCTAAGCAGAATTCTACTTCCCCACAAACTTTCCTATATTGGGTATTACACAATGTTTAATAAATGAAGAGAAATATCTGTAGAAGTTCAGTTACTATCTGCATGGGTCTAGTGAATTAGCTGTCAGAGACCTATAGCTAACTCTGGGAATAGTCAGGGTTTTCATGTAAACATATTCCTTTGAAATGTTATCTTTTCCAGTAAAAACACAACAAAACCAAGCCTTCTGTAATCTCTATAACATAACACTTGGTCTAAGGTAGTTTAAAATTCACGGATGCTACTAGAACTCAAAGGAAATTCAGTATAAGCTTAGCCAATGACAATCAGGGCAATGAGTAGTGATACTGAGATTATAGAACTGAATGGCAGCTGAACACATACAACAGAAAAGGATACAATGTTGCAGGCCCCCCCCATTCCCCTTTGCTATGGGACACATGTACTCCCCAGAGAGAGCAAAAATGAGAAAGCTACCCCAGGGAATGGCCACACAGCAATGTCTTCTCCTCCTTTCCTCTCTAGGAATTTGGGCACTCATGCACACACGCCCAGTGTGTGAGGAGCTATGGAGCTCCTCACTTTTTAAGCCACAGGGTCCAAGACTTGAACTGTGCAGTCAGTCACACAGGATCCATTGTCTTAACTACTGGCTGGCCTGTTGGAGTACGAAGCTTAGATAGTAAGTAAAGCTACCAATAAATAGTTAAAGATAATTCCTTACATGCTTTCTCTTCATCTTCACTATCAGAAAGCACAGCAGCTTTTCGCTTTGCTACTTTCTCCTCCTCACCCTCTTTCTCTTCATCATCTTCACTGTCAATTTTTTGCCCTTTGGGTTCTTCTTCCTCACTATCAGAACTGTGAAACCTTTTCCTGTCTGTATGGGTATCTGAATGAAAGGAGTCAGTCTGCATTTCTGTATTCTCTCTCTTACTCTCTCCATCACTATCATCATCAGATTCTGGCTTTTGTTTGTGTCTGGTGGCACCCTCAGTTTCTGAATCACTCGCAGGTCCCTTCTGAGGCTCTTCACTTTCAGAGTCACTAACGCGGGGTTTGGGTGGCTCTTCATTTTCAGAATCAGTGGCCTGGTTCCTTGGTGGGTCTTCACTTTCTGAATCACTAATTTGAGGTTTGGGAAGCTCTTCATTTTCTGAGTCACTGGCTTGGTGCCTTGGAGGGTCCTCACTTTCTGAGTCACTGACACGGGGTTTGGGAAGCTCTTCATTTTCTGAGTCACTAGCTTGGTGCCTTGGAGGGTCCTCACTCTCCGAGTCACTGACACGGGGTTTAGGAAGCTCCTCATTTTCTGAGTCACTGGCCTGATGTCTTGGGGGTTCTTCACTTTCTGAGTCACTGATCCGAGGTTTGGGAAGCTCCTCACTTTCTGAATCACTCATTTGAGGTTTGGGAGGCTCCTCATTTTCCGAGTCACTGGCCTGGTGCCTTGGGGGTTCCTCACTCTCAGAGTCACTGACCCGAGGTTTTAGAGCATCCTCTGTTTCGGAGTCACTGGCAGGACTCTTTTGGAGCTCTTCAACCTCAGAATCACTAGCCTGATGTTTTCTAACATCTTCATTCTCTGAGTCACTTGCATGCCCATTAAGAAGCTCCTCATTTTCTGAGTCACTACCAGGCAATTTCCTGGTTTCCTCACTTTCGGAGTCGCTCCCGTGCTGATTGACATCCTCATTTTCAGAATCACTTGCGGGAGGCTCTGCCCGCTCCTCAGAATCAGAGTCACTATCCTTTTGCCTATGGAGCTCCTCACTTTCAGAGTCACTAGCATTAAGATTCAAGGGCTCATCATTCTCAGAGTCCGTCATTTGATGTCCTTTGGGGGGGTCATCTTCTCTGTCACTAGGTTCATTCTGAAAAATAAAGTGAAAAAAATTATGAACGTACAAAAAAGTTTGGTAGTGAAATGTTAAATTTTACTTCAAGTTTAAATGTAGGAATATGTGTACTTAAATATAGAATTCTTGTCCTATACCCAAACAGAAACATTCTATTTTAAAGAAGGCCAATCTAGGGAACCAGCAGTTAGCGTAATGGCTATGTCGCTGGACTACCACGTAGTCGACCGTGGTTCGCGTCCCGGACCCGGTGGCTCAAAACTCACGCTGGGCGCATGTGCGTGCGTGCCCAAGATCCCGAGAGGAGAATGGAGGAGAAGGGATTGCGGCGTGACCATCCCCCCTGGGGGGTGATTTCTCGCTTTCTGGCTCTATGTCTCTGTCTTTCTGTCTGGCGAGCGCACGTGCCCTATAGCGAAAAAATCTCTCCAAAAAAAAAAAAAGGCCAATCTACAAAATGGTTAACGTGGTTGAGAACCAAAAATGGGGAAAGATAATCACAAAAATTATATCTGTAATGCATATCTCCAGATTATTAAATAGACTAATTTTCAAGAACTAGATTTCAAAAAAAAAAAGCCTAACTTTTTCTCAAATACAAGTAAACATGTAAACTAGTTCTTACAAAAAAGCACATTCTTGGGCGTGGTGGCACCCGCCCTATGGCAAAAAGGCACATTCTTTATAAGGTTAAAATTACTTCAACGGAAAGAACTATAAAACCTTATTTTACTTAAAAGGTCAAATAACGTACAGGGAACTTTCTTCCAAGAAAATGTAAACAAACAAGGAAAGGAAGAGTTAATTCTTCCTGAGGATTAGGAGCCAACATCATGCTAGGTTCTTCTGCGTTATTTCACTTTTCATAACCATATTTCTCAAGAAAACTGAGGCTTAAGGTACTCATGTCAAACACCAAGTAGCCCTGGAACAAAAGCTTAAGTTTTAGGGAAAACATCACTAATCTAATTACACTAATACATAATGTTATTTGAAATAATAACTCTGAAATCATGCTCTCAGGGAACAAATGATAGATGCATATTACAGATTTATTTATTTATTTATTTGCTTCCTTTTTTTGCTATAAAGCTTATGTGGTTGTCAGAGAAAGAGAAGGAAAGTGAGAAATCACACCCCAGGGAGTTATGGCTAAGCCGCAACTCCTTCTCCTCCATCTTCCTCTCAGGGCATATACACAAATGTGCTGAGCATGATTTTTAAGCCACCAGATCCAGTACTCGAACACTGTACTGGCCATGTGAAATCTAGTGCCTTAGCCATGCCACCTATTGGCCCCAGATAAATTTTATTGATTTAGAGCACTTTCTGCTATAGGTTGCATGTGTTCACCAGAGAGACAGACAGGAAACAAGAAATCAACCCACCAGGGGGGATGGCCACAATACAAACCCTTCTCAACTCGGGATATTGGACACACACATGCATGCTAAGCTGCCAGGTCCAGAACTCAAACTGGGGGCTCATTGACATAATCATTACGCCATCTGCCGGTCTCATTGTTTGTTTGTTTGTTTTGGAGAGGTTTTTGCTATAGGGTGCATACGCTCACCAGAAAGACAGAGACAGACAGAGAGACAGAAAGTGAGAAATCACCCCCCAGGGGAATGGCCATGCCGCAATCCTCTCTCCTCCATTCTCCTTTTGGCACCCTGGGCACGCACACACACGCGCTCAGCGTGAGTTTAAGCCACTGGGTCTGGGACTCGAATCGTGGTCAACTACATGGGAGTCCAGCAACATAGCCATTACACTAACCGCTGGTCCCATCATTGTGTGCTTGTTTTAAATGCAGAAAAAATACACAAATTTAAACAGATCAAAATATTTGCAAGTATTTTGGGTTCAAGGAAATTTTCTCTACCTAGCACCTCAACTTTCCATATGGTGATAATGTTCTGGTATAAAAACCTAAGATATTTTTTGCATTTAAGTGTTTCTCCCTTAAAAATGTACTGAGTCATGGGGCTGGCAGGTGGCATGGTGGTTGAGATGTTAAGACTCCCACTGACCGACTACAGTTCAAGTTCTGGACCTGGCAGCTTGCTTTCTCACTCTACCTTTCTCTCTGTCTCTCTTTGGTTAAAACTGAATAATAATAATAATAAAAATGTAAAATACGTAATTTTTTTTTTAATTTAGAGAGTCAAATATTTCTTAGGATATGTGCTGGAAGTTATAAGAACTTACCACAGATAAAATTTCAAGGACCAAAGAGTCTATAACAGTGTACATGCCCACCATAGTATTAAATCTTTAAATAATTAAGAAAATTCAATGACAAGATAAATGGCATGTTTCACAAAACCCATACTTTCTTTAACTCCCTCCAGGCTCATCTAAAGACAAAGTATTCTTTTTTGTTTGTTCAAGAGTTCTAAAAGCATTTTTCTTGAGTTCTTACTCAGCATTAACCACAGCACTAGCTATCTTGTCAGCCATACATACACATATATGTGTAGACAACAGGTACTTCTGCACTTAGTCTGTGATGATTGAGTTAAGAAGTTACCTAGATGTAGGTGTGAGGCATATATAGGTAGCAGAAACAAACAAGAGACATAAGAGAAAATCATAATTGGCTTTTGGAATGCTTTCTGTAACACACCCACTATGTAACATTTTAAAATAATCATTTTATTTATATTTTTACTTTTTAAACTTGCTATGAGGCACATGTGCTCACCAGAGATAGAGAGAAAGGGAAAGTGAGAAAGCAACCTTAACCACTATGCCACCTAATGCCACTGCCCCATGCACACATAAATTTACCACCATATTTATTTATGACTCAACTTATTTTAATTCCAAACAATAAAACCATCTCTGGCTAGGTCCAGGAACAAAACAAAACAAAACAATTTTCCCAAAATCAAGGTGAAATGAATGGCTAGACTCAGGAAGGGTAAGGAACTAAGGCTGCTCAGAGAGCTGAGAAAGGGGAACTCAATCTTCACTAGAGTACGGTCAATAACATGACTTAACTCTAACCATGTTAAGTTTCAATACCTAGAACTCAAAACTTTAATCCTCAGGAGAAATTATTTAATTGCCACTATTAGGTATCATGATTTATTCAACTACAGCCAGAAAAAGGGCACAGCTCTGAGGGATACATCCAAAGACACTGACTGAACAGTCATCCTAGAACTTACTTGCTACACTCTACTCAGGATTTCCTGACACATGGTATGTACAATCATAACAAAGGCATTACATATGATAATGACTGCAGAACTGATGAATTCCCATTAAAATCCGATATCCATCCATTATACATGGCATAATCAATGCACTGAGAAGTACTAGAAACAGAAAATACACTTAGGCAATGATGACATTACAGATTTTGAGCTTGAAAGTTATCACAATACTAAAAAAGTTGATACTGGGTTAGCAGGGGGCACGGACATTAGGACAAAGACACTGGCCCCCACAAGGCTAACTGCACACATGCACATTAAGTGTTTTTCAAACCACCAGGACTGGGATTCAAACCAGTTGCCCATGTGGAACCTGGCTCTCTTAATCACTACACAGCAGGGTTGGCCCAAAAGGGTAGTTTCTTAAACACAGTGGTTATGTGCTCTGTATTGGAAGCTGAATCCCACATGGTCAGCCATAGGCTGAATCCTGGCAAATAAAGGGGAAGAAAAAGCTTTACGGGCTGATCCATAGTTCAACGATTAACAGAGTCAGATCCCACATGGTTGACTATGGTTTGATCTTGGCTTGGAGGCATGAAAAAAATGAGTGCATGCATGTGTGTGCCCACCATCCTCACAGTATGAGGATATGGAAGGAAAAATAACTCTGGCATGACCACACACCAGTGTAGGGTTCTCTCCCTCTCTCGAGCATGTGCCTTCTGACAATTAAAAACAAGAAAGTTCCATATGAAGTCGAATTTAGAAGTATAGTTGACCACTGAACAACACAGAGGTCTACTCATACATGAATCTTTCTCAATGAACAGTACAAGTATGTTTTCTTTTCTCTAACTTACTGTAAGAATATAGCATATAATATATATAACATGCAAAATATGTGTTAATTGACTACTGATTTTATCAGTGAGGCTTACAGTCAACAGTAGGTAAAGGTAATTAGTAAAGTTCTGGAAGAGTCAAAAATCATATACAGATTTTCAATGGGCGAGAGGAAGTCACTTTGTTCAAGGGTCAACTGGTTGTTCTTGGGCTTTTCCTTGATTTAAAAAAACAAAAACAAACAAACAAAAAAAACCTGTATGTGAACAGTTACAGTAATAGGTTGATTACATATTAATTATTATCTTTAGAGGTTACTAACATCTTCCTTGTCCTTTTTTTTTTCTGAGAGATTTTCGCTATAGGGCACGTGTGCTCGCCAGACAGACAGACAGAGACATAGAGACAGAAAGCGAGAAATCACCCCCAAGTGGGGATGGTCACCCCGCAATCCCTTCTCCTCCATTCTCCTCTTGGGATCTTGGGCACGCACGCACACACGCCCGGCGTGAGTTTTAAGCCACCAGGTCTGGGACGCAAACCATGATTGACTACGTGGGAGTCCAGCGACATAGCCATTATGCTAACTGCTGGTCCCCTTCCTTGCCCTTTTAAAAGGATGTAAGTATCAGTGAAATTTTCAAGTGTATTAGTGCTGTAAAAAGCACTTTAAGAGGCTGGCAGGTGGCGTGACAGTTAAAGGTGCTGGATTCCCACACGGCCAACTGTGGTTGGAGTCCTGAACCTGGCAGTTTGTTTTCTCCCTTTCCTTTTTTCTCTCTCTGGTCAAATTAAAAAAAAAATAACAAATGGAATTAAATAAATAATTAAAAAAAAAAAAAAAGGCACTTCAAAAACTTGTCCAGGGGACCAGCAGTTAGC